ATATTCTGTAGATCAAATACTTTGAACTTGTGTATAGATGATTATCGGTGAACATTCCGAGGGTCAAATCAACCTAAACCTAAAAACCTAAAGTCACCAAATTTCTATTTTATGGCGTAAATATTCGCCCCTGGAAAGCAAGATTTGGAAAATATGCCAGGGTTAGAAAGTGTAGCTGTTGACCTAGAATCGGTCAAGAGAGTGCAAATATCACGAAATATTGCCCTGGCTCGGAATATAGATCCGCGGAAACTTAGACGACAGTGGTAGTTGCATAGGGTACCATATGGTCGGCCTCGTCCCACTACACTACTCCGCTCACTCAAAATCTTTCGTTTCAAATTTTAAAGAAGCATGTTGTTAATGTTGTATGCGTCAATTTCTCTACAAAATATGCATATTTGGGCCGTCAAAGCCTCATAATCTACAGCAGTCGCTTCGAAATTTGTGATTTATTTTACATTTTAGTGGCTACCTTTTCAGCGAACATCATAGATATCCGTTTAAACGACTTACACATAATATTTCAGTTTATATTGTCTTTTATTGGTACTAAATACGCCCACAAGTTCTGCATTTTTCAATATCATTCCCTTTATACTACTAAAATATATGTTTCGATTGTTTTATTTGTTTTTTGATTAAAATAATAAGAATTGAAATTAACCGAAATTGTGTGCTGACAAAATCTTTCGATATGTCTTCCTCAGACCTATTCGTTCAGAGATGTTTAAAGGCATGTCTGCGTTTGGGATTCCTGCAAACTTAATAGCAGTTAAAGTCGGAAAGGATCTCCCGGAGCCCTTCAAAACCTAATGAGGATTCAGAGAAGGTAAGATTTTGTCGTGTGATATCCTGCTGGAATAGTTCATACGAGATTTAAATGTGAACAGAAATGGGACTCTGTACACCAAACTACATATGTTACTCGTCTACGCCGACGACATCGACATAATGGGACGAACATTGCGAGCGATAACAGCCACCTTTGAACGAATTGGGAAGGAGTCTGCCAAAGTGGGACTGACAGTAAATGGCAAAAAGACCAAGCTGATAGTATCAACGCACAAGACGTCCAGTAAAATGTAGCTTCGAGGTAATAAACGATTTTATATACCTCGGTATTGCCAGAAACAACACATCAGCTTTGAAATCCGGAGGTGAATAGATGATACTATGGTCTGAGTAAGCAATAGATATCCGTTTAAACGACTTACACATAATATTTCAGTTTATATTGTCTTTTATTGGTACTAAATACGCCCACAAGTTCTGCACCTTTCAATATCATTCCCTTTATACTACTAAAATATGTGTTTCAATTGTTTCATTTGTTTTTTGATTAAAATACTAAGAATTGGAATGAACCGAAATTGTGTGCTTACAAAATCGTTCGATATGTCTTTTAAGCAAAGCGGGTTGTTAATGATGTCAATTTATTTACAAAATATCTGATGAGCCAACTCCTAAACTCATCACGAGATGTGATGAGATAAATTAGAGAAAAAAGAAACGCACGGTGTTGACGATTCCGTGGATCGAGCTGAACTCATTTTATTTAAAATATCTTCTTAACTCTAAACCTATATATTAATACATAGAACTACAATGCACATCAAATACATACATCGAATGTGTAAATAGATTTGAGTTAGGACACATTTATCGTCTTTATTTGCGATCACCCAAAAATACACACAGTCAAGAAATGCTGTAAAATGCATTCTTATGTTGTGACCCATTAACGCGCGGTTGCCAACGCACTATTGACGTTCCACTTGAGACCTGCACACACGCAATGCCTGAGAGTCATAAATAACCTATTTTATAATCTACATTACAAATAGAAATCTTAGAAAACAACTATTTTCATTTGACTACCTGATTCCAAATTTACGTACAGTTCACTAAACTGTACAATATCAATATTTGGCCTGTCATTTCATATTTTAGTTGCTACCGTTTCAAAGAACATCGTAGGTATCCTTTAAACACCATACACCTAATATTTCAGTTTATACCGTCTTTTATTGGTACTTCATATGTGTCTGTGGAGCGTATACATAACGACAACACTAATACGCCCAAACGTTCTAAGCTTTTCAATGTCGTTCTCTTTGTCCCACTGAAAAACATGTTTCAATTGTTTCATCTGTTTTTGATTAGAATACTAAGAACTGATGAAATTATCTGAAATTGTCTGCTGACAATAGCATTTAACGTGTACATTCTCACATAATTGTTCATAATGATATTCTATTTGTTTCTAAATAATTTCATTACAACCACAACAGCAACAACAAAACCCTCCTTACCAACCCTCCTCCACCCCCAAATGTTAGCTACATTTCATATCGTATGTTTTAATTTTATTTTTACCTACACGTGCGTGTCATATGACATCCTTGTAACATATTTAAATGTCTTCAAAAATTAAATATACATTCCCCAAACAATTTTTCAGATTCGTGTACTTCTCCTCCCCTTCCTTCTACAACTTGTTGTTTATGGCCTTGCCATTATCATCAACCTCATCCACTACATACTTATTCTGCCTCTCCAATATATGTGTTTGTATGTGCAGGCCTATTGTCATTGCCTCGATCTCTCATCCATCATAGACGCTTACCACATTTGCCACAGCAATTATTTTTTTAAAGTGGTTTTAACATATGAATTAATTGGGTCATACTCTTCTGTGCTGTTGTTAATTGCTCCTCCCTTTCAGTTGAAAAAATAAAATATTTCCAACAAAGGCCATAAGGCGTTGCTGCCATTCCATTGAATAATGTTCAACAATTTTATATTAAATTATGTTTGGTAGGGACAATGAAGGGACGGAAGGAAAACAGGCAGCTGCGTTGGCAGTTACTGACAGTAGTGATTTTGATAATAAGTAAAATTTTCGAGAGGGCGATATATTTTAAGAATTTTTTTTCGGTATGTAGGGGGAAAATCTGTGGTAATGTTGGTGTGGCGTTTCATTGGTAGGATTTAAATTTAAAGATTAAATTAGAGATTTTCTGTAAGGCCCATAGATGTTCCATGACAGCACAAAGTGTACTAAAAATAGTACCTAAGAAGAATAATTCGATGGTGAGAATTGAGAATAATTAGATGGTGAGAATTTGTCGTAGATTCAGTGGATTCGGCCATGCTTACGTCCTAATTTTCTGGAAAACATCATAATTTATTGTCGAATTGGATATAATGTTAAAGGGTTTTGATCAAATTATAAACTCTATTATAATATTGAGACTATAAGAAACAGAAAATGTGAAAATTGTTTTATAGTTGCTATACCCTCAGTCTTACTACTAATAAGGGTATATAGAAATATCCGTTCATTAATCCAAGATTAGGCCTGAATATGGGACATATCAGTTCATTATATCTTCCACAATGTGTTAATTTTTTTAAAAAAAGATTTATTTACATCGTTTGAGGAACATCGGTACATATAAGTGTTGCCAACACGTATACGATGTCATTCACATTATTAAAGTAGTATGATCAAATTATACACGCTACTATAATATGGAGACAATACGAAACAGAAAGTGTAAACATTGTTTGTGTACCCTCAACCTTACCACTAAACAGTCCTCCTATAATTGGAATTAATTGAATATGTTACCTTAAAAGGATAATCTATTCATGTACCCCATCCCCCTTGTAATCAAAACATACACATTGTATTTCAGCATCATTTAAACTATATTAAACATTTATTGAAATGAGGAAAGTTGTAAAACCCTTCTACCAAACTTTTTTAAAAAATATTTTATGACAAATATAAAAACAACATTTAAAAAAATATTTATGTTACATATTTTTTTATATTCCCCCTAACACCAATACCCTTTTTCGTTTCACATAAAATCGTAAATACGACTAAACATAAAATGAGATTTTAATGGATTGATATGTTTAAGGCGCATATTCTTCATACCAGGTAGCGGTATCATAAAAAGTCAATGATTGAATAGATTGAATAAAGACATACCTACATAAATATAAAAATAAAAAAAATTATGTATATATCAATAAACTTTGAAATTGGACAATTCCATTTCCGTCCCACACCCCGCCCAAAAATTTCGAGACAACTTTATTACATTGGACATTGCCTGTCTAGATATTGATGACATTTCATGAACTTTTATAAATTTTATTGTTATTTTTGAAGTCATGGAGGTTATTTGTTTTGTACTCACTTTAATGTGTATCAATATTAGTCAAATTGAAATGCTAAAAAAAAGATACAAACACACACAAATCATTTCCTTCAGATTTTTTGTTTTTCCATTATGGGAATAAAAGCCACAAATTGTACTTGGACACCACATAAACCACAAAAGAATGAAAAACAACAAAATCAAAACAACAACAAAAAAACTTCCACTACAAGTGGCGGTTTCCAGGATGGAAGGAGGCATAAATAATCAATGGTGTGGGAGAGTGACCTCCCAAAAATGAAAGTTTTAAAGTGTCTATAAAAATATTTGGTAAAGATAATTTTCTTAAAATCATGTCCATTTAAAATGCGATTATTGTGTGAAAAGCTAAAGAAGAGCGCTTCAGTTTCAGGATGTTGGAAAATATTCACCTACACACATCAATGACATCAAAACTTCCTCCATCGTTCCCCAAAACAATATAAAATTTAATTTTTCTAAAGACAATTTTTTAAAGCCTTATCCGTAAACCATTACATTACACTCCCTGTGCTTTAGAGGCCATTAGATTTTCCATTTTTTTTTTTCATTTCCGTATTGTCCCCAGCAATCGGCAGACATGATTAAATATTGAAAAACAAAACCATTAAAAATTTGTGGTTACCTTCGAAAGGTTATTTTTTCGTTTTCTTCTACGAAGGTAAGTGGTTTTTGTTCTCCAATCGCCCCAAACCATTTATGTACCACTTATTCTACCCCACCCACATCTCCTTTTAACAAAATTAAAATTGGAAAAATATATATCTTTTTCAGTTTACTTACTCTCTGTACTCCATTCGGGTTCACAATTCTGCCACGGCAACTTGGTGCGAAACGATGCAAACATATAGAATATAGTCCAGGCAATAATTAGATTATAGTACAACATAACAATGGCCGATACAATAATCATGCCCGTACCCAAACCACAAAGCAGCGGGCAAAATCGTTGATAGATAGCCACCGGTCCCAGGGCGGCATACTGACCGAATGACAATTCCATGAACATGAGCGGAAGGCCGGCAATAATTAACATAATGGTGAAGGGTATAAGAAAGGCGCCTGGAAAAGAAAGTACATAAAAAGGAATGAATACAAATAATGAACGATTAGAAGACATGAAAATCACATAATAATCAACATTTTTTTTTTACAAAATTTAAATCATCAACGGCCAATGAAATTATAAAGAAAAATGAGTTATTTTTTGCCCAAAAGGAGTTATCAATCAAAGAGGCAGCTAAAAAATGTCCTATCAATCATTCCAATGATTCATGGTCTATTTTTTTAATATTCAGAGCTCATATGTTTTGTGGCCTAATGGAGTTGACACGTTTGTGCATTGAGTATTAAAATTTGAAATACTTTTCTTATAAAATAACAAATCAATCATCTAATAGCTTAAAATCGTGGCGAAAATGTCTAAAGGAACACTGACATTAAATTATGTTAAATAAATGTTAAATGTAATTTAGGCCATGTCCCTTGCCAAAAAAGTCTTTTGTGCCACTGGAAAAAAAATTAAGTTTAGGCTCTTCTATCGTATTTTTTTTAACTTTCAAAAATTTGAGTAGATTATTCGACCTCGTCAAGTACAATTTTAACCAAATAATACACAATTTTTGGGATATACATTGTGTATATATATGTATTATTTGCCGGATATACCAAATAATTAATTTCATAATTATAGTACGAGGATTACTATATATTAGGTTTGGGAAACAAGAATCCAATATTTTTTATATGAACTATAGGACTTTATTTAACATGCTTCGGAATGTCCGATTTGGGCCAAATATGCTCGGTTTTTATACCCTTCACCACACTGTGGTACAGGGTATTATGTCTATGTGCCTATGTTTGTAACAGGCAAAAATAATCGAGATAGACTCATGGTTCCTTTTAAGAATATGCATAGAATCACTTTCTGAGTCGATTTATGCATGTCCGTCTGTCCGTCCGTCCATGTATTTTTGTTAACAAAGTACAGGCCGCATTTCTGATCCGATTTGGATGAAATTTGGCACAGGTCACTTAATTGGCCCAAGGACGAACCCTATTGAAATTGGGAAAAATATATTTTCGTCCGATTTATGGTAAATAGTGTACGAAAGTCCCTATATATATTTCGATTTGCACGAAATTTGACATAGCGTAATGAATTAGGTCTAGAATGATGTGTGTTAAGTTTCCTGAAAATCGGTCCAGATTGAGATATAGCTCCCATATATATTTTAGACCGATTTTATGTAAATGGTGTACCAAAGTCCCTATATATCTTTCGATTTGCACGAAATTTGGCACAGCGTGCTGAATTAGGTTTAGAATGATGTGTGTTAAGTTTCCTGAAAATCGGTCCAGATACATTTTTGTCCGATTTAAGGTAAATAGTGTACCAAAGTCCCTATATATCTTTCGATTTGCGCGAAATTTGGCACAGCGTACTGAATTAGGTCTAGAATTATGTATGTTAAGTTTCCTGAAAATCGGTCCAGATTTATATATAGCTCCCATATATATTTTCGTCCGATTTTATGTAAATGGTGTAGCAAAGTCCCTATATATCTTTCGATTTGCACGAAATTTGGCACAGCGTACTGAATTAGGTCTAGAATGATGTGGGTTAAGTTTCCTGAAAATCGGTCCAGAATTAGATATTGCTCCCATATATATTTTCACCAAAGACCCCAAGGTAGGCCGATTGACAAAAAATTTGGCACAGCGTACTGAAGTAGATATAACCTTGATTGAATCAACCCTGTATCTGACCAAATGAAAAATATAGTATAGGTTGCAGAATGATATGTTTATGGATCCATTTTCATGTTAATGGTCCTTCAAAAATTCGACGTATGTTAGGATTCATCTGTTGAATATACCCACAGTGGTGAAGGGTATCATATAGTCGGCCCCGTCCGACTTTCCTAACTGGTGTTGTATGATTTGTTGACATTTTAAAGGTAACTTCAAAATGCCTCTCTCATAGAAGTCCTGATCTCTATTTGCAAAAAACTCCAGTAGTCGATTTTCACAATGCTCAATTTTTATCATTAAAGAAATTTTGCATAGCAAGAAAAAAAAATGATAATAGCGAACTGTATGTCGGGCGGATGCATTAACAATTTCTTGTGAATTGTAAACAGTTTTATGGTCGATTTTTAGCTCATGGACAATGTTACCACTCTTAACATGCCAGTCAACATCGATCATTTCTCCGATTTTATCGACATTTTCTACATCTTCAACATCAAAAACTCCTGAACGGAATCTACGAAACCAAAATTGCACATAATTGGCTGTTACAGTATCGGAACCATAAACACCATTCACAATTTTAGCCGATTGGATTGCATTTTCGCCTTTGTTAAGGAAAAACTGTAAAATGTACCGAATTTTCTCTTTGTTCATTTCCATTTTTAACACCCTGTATGAATGAACCCTGAATGAAACAACAGCAAAAACTAAAGAGCATAAACCTGAAATTGTTTGATCGATACTTTACGAGAAATCTATCAGTACAGCCATCTGCCGAAAAAAATGGATTTCTATTCCCCCAACCAAATATTTTGGTCCATGTTTCAGGTTAATCCCCATATAATGGTACCTCACAAAATATGGCTATAACTCTATATTTTGAGTTATCATCGAGTAAAAAATCGTCAACATTGGCCCAAGATTCCGGGAAGCACCCATATAATTTGACCCAAAAAATCTCCGAATCTTCCAACAAACAAATTCACAATATCGGTTTCGATGTTTTGAAGGTATTGGCCGGAATTAACCAATGTTGCTTGATCAAATTTATAAATATCAAAAATTCAGTAGTGTTGGCGGGTTATTTGGGATACTATTTGTATTTTGTTTTTGCAAAATAGTCAGGCTGAATCGCAGTGGGAAAGTATGGTATTGTTTACAAATGCTTTGGTAACCTCAAAGTAAGGCACTAGCGAAATTCTCATACAGTTTATTTCGTTGGTTCGCGAAGTACTTCGCTTTGTTACAAGAGACATTTGGGTATAAAAGGATTTTTTGTAAAGAAGCTATTAATAGCTTCTGGGGAGAATATTCGCAATAAAAAACAAAGGGATGAGGATCAGTGACGAGATCCGAAACTATAGTCTTCCCTGCCTTACCTCTTGGTGAACAATGCCATACTTTCCCCACTAAAATTTTTTGTAGGGAAGGTACCATACGATATGGACCGATGTTCCCAACCTTCGAACTTGTACTAAATTTGGGAAAAATATTACGATATGCAAATTATGTCAGATTGTGCACCCCAAGAGTTTGTAAAGCCGCGAAATATTGGTCCTAGATACACCTTTAAGTGTACCGATCGTTATAACTCGACTAGCTGAGTCGATCTAGACATGTGTGTCCGTCCGTCCGTCTGTCCATTATAATTTGTAAACACGATTCAGGCTACAGTTATGGACCAATCTTCACGAAACTTTGCATGTAGGATGGGTTCTGGCCAATGAAGACCCCTATTGTTTTTGATAAAAATCGGTTAATATCTAGGGGATGAAATGGACCAAATACTTAATTTTTTCGGTTTTTCTGGTCGCTCCAGAGGCCACAATTATGACCCAAACATCGCGAATTTTTCCATAGAGAAGGAGATTGGGCCAAAGAATAGCGTAAAGATTTACACCTGAAGGACATAGACCCGAAAAGTTGTTGGTATATACAAGAGCAGTGGTTGAACTTTAAATCGATACCAATTATATGGTCGTATGTACACAGATGTGGGAGTTACACTTAAATATTTACAGGTGCTTATGTATTCGGAAATAATTTAGTAACCCTTTACAACACTAGAAGGCGGAAATATAGCGCTGATCGCTATAAAATGATCCATGAGGTTCCAGTTATGGTCAAGGATAACACCTACAATTTTCGGTGATGTTCAGATAATAATATTGTGATGAAGTGGACCGAAAACATAATTTTTTGTGTTTCTGTGGAGTCACTCTACAGGCCACAATTATAAGCCGAACATCACAACACACGGTGAAGGGACAAGTAATTAAAAGGGCTGTACTGAATATTAGTAATATTCGGAAAATATGTCAGTGTACGGAAGAGGTGCTATTGACCTTATCGGGCAAGAACGTGCAAATATCACGCAATATTGCTCAGACTCGCATTAAAAATCCGCAGAAAGTTAGAGTTCCGTGGTAGTTGTGCAGGGTATTGTATGGTCGGCCCCGTCCGACTATACTGCTCCGCTCACTGGTTATACCCTTCACCACACTGTGGTACAGGATATTATGTCTTTGTGCATATGTTTGTAACAGGCAAAAGGAAACGAGATAGACACATGGTTCCTTTTGAGAATATGCATAGAATCACTTTCTGAGTCGATTTATGCATGTCCGTCCGTCCGTCTGTCCCTCTGTCTGTAGATGTTAAATTGTAAACAAAGTACAGGTCACATTTATGATCCGATTTGAATGAAATTTGGCACAACTCACTTATTGGGCCCAAGGACGAACCCTATTGAAATTGGTGAAAATCGGTTCAGATTTAGATATAGCTCCCATATATATTTTCGTCCGATATAGGCACCAAAGTACCTATATATCTTTCGATTTGCACGAAATTTGGCATAGCGTACTGAATTATGTCCAGAATGAAGTGTGCTAAGTTTCGTGAAAATCGGTTAAGGTTTAGATATAGCTCCCATATATATTTTCGTCCGACTTAAGGTAAACGGGGCACCAAAGTACCTATATATCTTTCGATTTACACGAAATTTGGCTTAGGGTACTGAATTAGGTCCAGAATGATGTATGCTAAGTTTCGTGAAAATCGGTTAAGGTTTAGATATAGCTCCCATATATATTTTCGTCGGATTTAAGGTAAACGGGACACCAAAGTCCCTATATATGCACATGAAAAAAAATCATATTTCGTAGAAATTAAGATACAATATATGTCCCAATTTTTTATTATGACATTCTTATTCCAATAATTAAGAAAACTACAACCAATTAAGTCTAATATTTGTATATCGCAACACATCAAAACTCCTGCACACGTACTTACCTCCTCCATTATTATAGCACAGATATGGAAAACGCCAAACATTACCCAGACCGACAGAATAGCCCAATAACGATAGCAAAAAATCAAATCGTCCCGTCCAATTGCCTCTTTCCGGTTCATTGGTCTCACTCTGGGCTGTAACATCCAACGTGAGCAGGGCAGCATGTGAGTCGACATCTCGTAGTGTTGCTACTGTCGGAACTGATGTTATGGTAGCGGCTGGCGTTGCTGCTGCTGCAGGCTGTCCTTTAGACGCCACCGTTTGTTTATCCACTTTGGCAGGTTTAGGTGTGGGTGGTGCCGGTATTGGGGCAGGTGCATTATTGTATGGCATTTTTTGGCCCGGAGGCAATTCAATGGAAGAGAAACGATCTTCATTTTCCTGCAACGAAATGCGAAAACAAAAGAAAACAAATCATCATCGGCATCAGCATGATTGCAGTCAATTTGAATGAAATCCAAAATCAAAACAAATTATTTGAAAATTTCCGCTTGGTCTAATCAAAATAATAAACAACCCAAAAAAGAACGAAAATATTGAATGGTCGATAAAAATAGATGTGGGTGTTGAATATTATGAGGAAGTTGAGCGAAAAATAATTTGATTTTTCATTCAGAACTTTTGAACAGGTAAATTAATTTTTATTTTAATGGATGTTGATTAATGGGGTAATTTGTGGAAAATAATGAAAGACATTCGTGTGTGCATATTTTGGCACACACGAAGTAATTTGTGAGGATAGACC